AAACCAAGGCTGGGACAGGGAGACAATCATTCAGTTCACACAGTGTGGGACCTTCCCTTCTACCATATCTTGCCAGCCTATGTTACTGAGACAAAGGACCTTGGTGGAAGTAGGGGGATGAAGTTACCCCCATTAAAGGCCTGAGAACTTGACCCCATAAGTGACAAGGAGCATAGAAGCAGGCCATACCAAACATTGGGCAGATACCTTCAACCCTACCCTAACCCATTCTGTGTTCCAGGCATTATTGACAGCACAACTGGTGAGCAGAGAGCAGGTGGTGGCTGTGACTGGGGATGGTACCAATGATGGGCCAGCTCTCAAAAAGGCAGATGTGGGCTTCGCCATGGTAAGCCATCTGGTGCCAGACCCAGTTCATCACACAGATGAAATCATGTTTCTCCTGGAGTTAACTTTGCATCAGAAAATGGAGAGCCAGTATCAGGACAGGTGACAGACTGCTAGAAGCTTTCTTCACTCACATCTTGACTGCTTGTGGCTGTGTGGGCTCTGACCATTAACAAATATATATGTGATTTGTTTAAAGACATCTGGTGTGAGGACACCCAGAGGTTACAGTGGAGCCTAACTGCACCACTGAAGAAAGGGGAGAAACGCTGAATGGTGGCTTGACAACAGTGGTACCTGCCCATAATCACCTATTCTTAGTCCACTCAAAGTAAGCCCCTGGCCCCAAGAGTGATGAGCAGAGACCACAGGGAGTTCTTCCTCTGGTTTCTCTCTTTCTGTTCATATAGATCTAGCTCTTCTTACTGAGCAGGGTGGCCTTCTAGATACTGCCCCACATGGTGAGCCCTGCCCCCAACTCACAGTGGTTAGCAGCCTAGTGTCACCCCCCCCCAGCAGAAAGGAGAACCTTTCACTCAGTCATATTTGGTTCAGCAGTGGGATGGGGAAGTACAGCATTCCTGGATCTCACAACCTGGAGTAGAGAGCAGGCTGAACTGTCCAGGGGTGACTGATGTCACAAGACACAGGTCCAAGATGGAGTGGGTGAGGGCTACACAGACTTGATGTCTATTGCTATGCCCAAGCTTATGCAGTGGAGGCAGCAAAAATCTGCTATGGAGCCAGGGGATGGGGTCCTTTCCACTACCCAGACAGACAGCCCACATTTCTCAGGGTTTCTTCAAGTAGCCAGACAAAGGACTGGTGAGTAGCCACCCAGAGGGAGCTGGACCTTGTGGAAGGCTGTATGGATGTTGTTTAGCAGCAAAGGGCCCCCTCACAACCAAATGTGGCAACATGCAGTTCGCAGTGTAGAGTGTGTTAGATTAAAACAAGTGCTGTTCAATTAAGGCCTTATTTGGAAGAGAAAGGCAGGGGACCATCCCAGGTGGGCTGGGTGCCCAAGGAGGACTTGAGAAATAAGCACTATGCTTATATACCATCCCCCAGGGCATCGCAGGCACTGATGTGGCCAAGGAGGCCTCTGACATCATACTGACTGATGACAACTTCACCAGCATTGTCAAGGCCGTCATGTGGGGCCGCAATGTCTACGACAGCATCTCCAAGTTCCTGCAGTTTCAGCTGACAGTCAACGTGGTGGCTGTGATCGTGGCCTTCACAGGTGCCTGCATCACTCAGGTGGGCACCAGGGGCCTACAAGAGGCAGTAATGTGGGCTCAAGAGGGCCATATTAAGAACAAGTGTTTTGCTTGTTGCAGATTCTTTTTATTGAAATCAAAATCATATACGAAAAATCTTATCTCTTCATGGTAGCTGTTTAGTAGATTTTTTAGTATATTCACAGTGTGAATCATCACTTCCTTCTAGTTCCAGAACACATTCATCCATCTCAAAGGAAACCTTTCGCCTACCAGCAGTCATTCCCCACCCCACCCCCAAGCCCCTGACAACTGCCACTTCTTTCTGCCTCTATTTATTTGCCTGTTGTAGATAATTTGTATCAGTGGAATGAAATGGCATGTGGCCTTTGGGGTTTGTTTTGTACATTTTTTTGCCAAGGGGGATGGGCATGTGTATGTGCTGCACTGCACATGTGGAGGCCAGAGGGCAACTTGCATGAATAACTTCTCTCTTTCCACCGTTTGGGTCCCAGATAATTGAACTCAGGTTTGCGCCTCTATTCGCTGTGCCAATTTGAAGATTCAACATATGGCCTTTGCACCCCACATCTCAGTTTGCATGTTTGCAAGATTCATCCATCTTGCAGCTTGGCCCAGTGCTTTATTCATTATCATAGCTGCACAGGAGTCCACTCGGCCCCATTATGTTTGTCATTCATCCATGCTTTGGACCACTTCCGCTTCATTGCAGTGTAGTGTTGCTAGGAACGCTCATGTCCAAGTTTCAATATGCATATGTCGTCCGCTCTCTCGGGTTGAGATCTGGGAGTAGAATGACTGAGTTTCAGAGAAATTCTATATTTCCCCTTTCTCAATGCTTTCATCTTCCCCATTGGTTGGAGGCCAGAATTTATTGATTTCTTGTTAGGGATGGTTGACTTTATTGTCAAAAAGTAGTTAACTATTTTGAGTGATTAGCTTGATTCCTTAGTGTGTGTGTGTGTTGGCAAGGTGTACATACACGTGCATTCATGTTTATTTAGAGGTCAGAGGTCAACCTCTGGTGTTCCTTGGAAGTTTTTCACCTTGTTCTTTGAGAGACAAACTTTTTTCAATAAGACCCCAGCCTCACTGATTAGGACAGGCTAGCTAGACAGCAAGCCTTAGAGATCCTCACATCTTCATCTTCCCATCACTGAGATTACAAATTCACACTGCCATGCCAGGCTTTTGTGATACAGATTCTAGAGGTTGAGCTTAGGTTTTCATGCTTGTAAGAGAAACACTTTACTAACTGAGCTAACTCCCCAGCCCCTCAGGGACTTTCTCTTGATATCTAAGTCAAGTATGAATGATATCATAACAACCATCCTAACCACTTGTAAGTACAAAATCCATGCCTCAGCATATGCAGTTTACTCTCAGAATATTCCCATGATTCCCTAGAGGATACCTCACACCCATTAGCAGCCACTCCCCATTGCCTCTCCAGCTTACCTGTTCCTCTGTATGTGAAATTCAGACCACAACTTTGAGATCACTGCCACCAGGCAAGAAGAGAGGGAAGTAGGTGGGAGTTAGGAAGCCAAGTGGAAAACATCTGCAAACCTGAGATTCCCATGACATTGGCAAAACTGAGCTTCTCCTCAGTAGTGGCAGGCTTTCATATCCTAGCATCCCAAGGTTACTCTATGTAGTTCTGCATGGCCAGCATACACGAAGGTGACTGCCCTTCTCTGCAGGACTCTCCTCTCAAAGCTGTGCAGATGTTATGGGTGAACTTGATCATGGATACATTTGCCTCACTTGCCCTGGCGACGGAGCCCCCAACTGAGTCACTGCTGCTGCGGAAGCCATATGGCCGAGACAAGCCCCTCATCTCACGTACCATGATGAAGAACATCCTTGGCCATGCTGTCTACCAGCTCACTATCATCTTTACGTTGCTTTTTGTTGGTAAGTTAAACCGGAGGCACATACTTCATGCGTGAGCCCTGTCTGTGTCCTCAGTCTGGCACAGGATGGGATACAGCACTTATAGACTGAAAAAAGCAGGCCCGCTCTATACCTTTGACCCATACCTCCCTGCTTCAACATGTACCCTACTGTACATCCCTGGGGCAGATGTGGTGGGGGAGAGTGGCCACTGGGGCTGAGAGATCTCCCTTCTCAGCCCCTGCCTCTCTCCTCCCTTCAGGAGAGCTCTTCTTCGACATCGACAGTGGAAGGAATGCACCCCTGCACTCGCCCCCCTCCGAGCACTATACCATCATTTTCAACACCTTTGTCATGATGCAGCTTTTCAATGAGATCAATGCTCGCAAGATCCATGGTGAGAGGAATGTCTTTGATGGTATCTTCAGCAACCCCATCTTCTGCACCATTGTCCTGGGCACCTTTGGAATTCAGGTAGGACATGAAGGTGTAGGGGCACTGACATTGGCCTTCTTGTACCCAAATCTTTTCCACATTCTAGAGCAGATGTTTTGCGTCTTCCAAGCATTGCTGAGCTCAGTTTTTCATCTAACCTACTAGCTTCCAGGGGGCTATGGGTAGCCTTTATCCCCTATCCTTCTCACATGGTTTCCAGAACCCTTCTTCCCTAACTCTCTCTTGGTCAACCATGTTAATTTCTAGCACCTAACTCCTTGGTGTTCTAGAACAATAGAGATTCTTTAGGAAAAGCTTGTTGTGCACATGGTTGATATGTTAAACTTTGGCTCCCACAACACTGTGGTCAGGGTGGCAAGCTCAGCTCCCCAGGAGGGGCTAAATGCTCTAAAGTATAGTGTCTTCAAACAAAACATCATTTATAGTTAAGTCCCACAAATCAGAAAATGGCTGTCATAGAAATGTAGCTCACTGTTCACAGATCCCAAGAAGAGGGGCATGTCATACATTGGTGGCCACCTCTAAATGCCAGTAAGGAACCACTGAGAGGGGAATTTTACTGTGGTTTCCCAGGACCAAATGAATAAGGGGATCAACAGACTTCATCTTGGCTAGCATGAAATCATTTCAGCCCACCATGGGGTATAGACTGGCCCCGCTTGCCTGGAAAATGGCTCTGAGCAAGGTTGGGTAATATGCTATGGATTGCTTGGTTAGCATTTAAGATATTGTCCTGGGTGTAAGACTTCTTCTAAAGTAGACAACAAGGAAGTCAGGAGGCCGAAGCAGGGTGACCCTTAAACTATAGGGCCATGCAGAGCAGGCAAATGTGAAAATAGCCTTGATGAAGCGGGAAAGATGGTGCAGACAGCTGAGTCTCACCTGGAGGCTGGAGGCAGCAGAGGGTAGGTGGGAGTGGGTGACAGCATGTGAAGCTACACAATGACACATCCTGGTACCAAAAGGCAGTACATGCCAGTAAACATTTGTCTATGGTCAAAGTGGTCTGGCTCCCAGGAGACAAAGTCAGTCTGGAGGGCAAGGTTTGTAGAGGGCTAGACAGGACGCAGAGAAGTCAGGAGCCATCCTGGTAATAAACTGCTCCTCCTCCCACCACTCTCCATTCCTTCCCCCAGATTGTCATCGTCCAGTTTGGTGGGAAGCCCTTCAGCTGTTCACCACTGTCCACAGAACAGTGGCTCTGGTGCCTATTTGTTGGTGTTGGGGAGCTGGTCTGGGGACAGGTGAGTGTCTGCCTCGTCAACTTTCTCACCAATACCTTCATTCCGGTGGCTTCTGTTCATGGCCCTCGGAGTGGATAAGACACCAGGCATCCTGTTCCACCTACGCCTCTCACTATCCCTACTCCCTGCCCCACAGTCTTGGAGCCTGTGGCCCGGAACTTGTGTGGTGTGTGCTCAGGCTCAGGCCTATGACATACTATAGCCTGGGGGTAAGGTCACAAGTGACAACCTCAGGAATGAGAACATAGAGCAGATAAGTCACACACTGTCCTAGGAAATCATCTAGTTTCCTTCCCCATAGTATAAGCGAAAAATTGCCCCCTCAACCTGGATATTTGGGGAACTGCAAGTGAATCTGGGTGTAGAGCACTTGTTTAGCTGTCATAAAGTCCTGGGGACCATCCCCAGCAGTGCAAAAAAACAAGATGGAAAGAGAGCCAGCCTGTGGAGCTTGGGATGTCCCAATAGATTTGAAATTAAACAATGCCCTGCTATGACATCTATGGGACAAAGACAGCTTGAGAAAAAGGAAGTGTTTGGGCTTCATGGAAAGTGGCAGGACAGCACCTGTGGACCTGAAAGTCGCAGCTGCCCCAAAGGAGCAGTTGTAGTACCCAGTGATGAAATCAGGAAATAAAATTTTAAGTGTCGGCAGCCAGTACAGTCTTAGGCACCAAGCCAGCTCCCTCCATGGTACACTGAAGCATTTTGTTCAGAGTTCGGGAACACTAGTTTGGGAAGCCACATCAGGATCTGCTTCACTTTGGGCCTTGGTCAGCTCAGGCTGCCGCAGCAGACTACCAGAGACAGGCAGGTTACACGAAGGCATGTATTTTCTCACAGCTCCAGAAGCTTGAAGTCTAAGATCAAGGGCAGCAAATTCAGTATCTGATAGGGGTTCCTTCCTGGCTTCTGGTTAGCTACTTTCTCACTATGGGTTCCTAGAAAGTTCTCTGGTATCTCCTCTTATAATGGCACAAATCTGGTGGGATCAAGGCTTCAACCAAATGACTTTATTTACCCTCTATTATCTGCCTCCTCCAAATATTTCCAAATTGATGGTTAGGGCTTACGACTAGGGGATAAGGAGGTACCACTTAGGTTTATAACACTATGAATTTTGTTTCTTTATCCTCTTGGTATGTCCTCTACCAAGCTGGCCGCAGAGGCCACTTCGACTATGGCAGTTGCTGGCCTCTGACATTAATCATGAGAGACCACTTAGTTTTTCCATCTCATTTTCAAGAAATCTCTTCCTTTCCATCAGTGCACCTCCTTCCTGTTAGGCTTCTGCTGGAGAGCCCAATGGAGTCCCTTCATGCTCTGCAGTCTAGACTCCATATACTCCACTCTGCCCTATCTATGCCAGCCTCTAGTTAACCTTTGAACTCCCTGACGCAATAGCCACTGCAGTTCTTCTGGGGTGCGTGCTGCCTGCCTGTAGCTCAGAGTATTTTTAATTATAAAAATAATGCACATTCAAAGTGACAAAACTTGGAAAAAAGGAATCTCTATAAAGAACCTTAAAGCCACTCCTCTCATGCTGACAGGAACCTAAGAGGGACAGATTGACCTGCCATCCTCCACCCAGACAGTTGAAAGGCACATCCCAGCCTTTCCTTCTTGTCACCTTTTCCTCCCTAAAAGGGTGATGTGGGATTTCCCTCTGTATGTTGTGATTACCATTGATTAATAAAGAAAACTGCTTTGGACCTATAGCAAGGCAGAACTTAATTAGGCATGGAAAGCTAGGCTGAATGCTGGGAGAAAGGAGGTGGGGTCAGAGAAAAGCCACATAGCCCAGCTGGAGCCAGACAGAATTTTACCCAGTAAGCCACAGCCATGTGGCGATACACAGATTAATAGAAATGGGTTAAATTAAGATGTAAGAGTTAGCCAATAAGAGGCTAGAGCTAATGGGCCAAGCAGTGATTTAATTAATACGGTTTCTGTGTGATTATTTCAGGGCTAAGTGGCCGAGAACTAATTAGTGGCCTCCTCCAACAAAAGCCCCTGATCACAAGCCCTTTTCTAAGTACTTCTTTCTCCGGGAAATGCCAGGAATAAGCTTCCATGGAGCTCAGTCTCAGAGAACATGGCAGCCAGCTTTTCTTTCAGTAACCATGAAGGCCAGCAATGTGGAGTGTTATCAGCTAGGAAGCTCACCTGAGTCCCGGTGTGCAGTTTCTCTTTGAGGTCAATCACATGTGTAGAGTGGGTATTATACTGTACTGAGATGGCTGGCCGCAGTATCCACACCCTCTGTGCCCCATAAGAAATGTATACACTAGCAGGTGTCCCAAAGCCCCCAAATGAGCCCATTCTTCTCAGGAAGCATGCCCCAGGCACTTCAAGATCCTTCCCAGAAGTGGTCAGAGGCCAGCACTGTCTTCCTCACATGGTACTCTATACATTGGCCTCTCTGCTCCATGGTCCTGGATGAGACTCAGTAGATTAGGAGTCTTCTACAAGAAAGCGCCAATTTAGGGTCTACTAGGCCCCAAGTGGGCTTTATCTCTGAGAGGTGGGGCCTCTGGTTTATTCCTGGTCATGGAAGAGCCTGCTCTCATGGCCACCTCTGTTTGCTGCCCTTTGACTCTGGCTTTCCCAGGTCATTGCCACCATCCCCACCAGCCAGCTCAAGTGCCTGAAGGAAGCAGGGCATGGGCCTGGGAAGGACGAGATGACTGATGAGGAGCTGGCCGAGGGGGAGGAGGAAATCGACCATGCTGAGCGAGAGCTCCGCAGGGGCCAGATCCTCTGGTTTCGGGGCCTCAACCGGATCCAGACACAGGTAAGCTGCTGTTCCACGTGACTCCTATTTTGCTGCCTTAAAAAGCAGGCAAGAAGCAGAAACTGGGCATACAGAATCCCAAAGCCAGCAGGGAACTCCCTGGATCTGGCCCCCAAGTATGCAGAGGCAGTGGCTAGTTCCCCTTCTACCACACAGAGGTGCCCACCACTGGCTGGCCATTTAGCTCACGTCTCCCTGACACGTCCCTCAGTGCCCAGGTAGCTTCTCTCCTAGATGGGTACAAACATGTGCTCAGGGCTCTCTCCGAGGCACAAACCAGCACTGTCTGCTTTCCTTGACAGGGCTACTTAGGCAAGTTGCATTTGAGTATGGGAGAAAAGACTCCATTTCAAGGAGTCTTCGACTAGTTCTCTGATCACCAAAGTCTTCTGTAATCACTGTGCAAAAGCCTTTCTAGGAAGTGGACTCTGCCACCAAGCTAGTTCAAATCTCAATAGGCTAGGCTAGTCAAGGCTAAAGCCATCAGCTACAGTTCCCAAAAACATCAGACTGCCAACAAAAGGCAGTAGTTAAGGCTTTTAAAAAAAAATCTCACGTGCCAGGCTACCCTGATCTCTGCCACCAATTCCTTTTTGGCCAGCTTTCTTACTAGAAGGTTCCATACTTGCTGCCTATTTCCATCTTCCCCTCACACTCTGTCATGATTGCACTGCCTACCACTCCCACTATGGCTGACACCACTGTCTGCAAGGCCTTCTTCCACTCCATGCTTTCCAGTTGCCCTCTGGAAGTGTTGCTGGCCCTGCTCATCCTGACAGCTTGCTGTTCCTTCTGAATTTCCATCTCCTCTCTGTCTTTATATTCCTGGTATCTCCACCTCCCACTCCAACCCTGATCTCTCATGCTGAAAAGCCCTGGGAGAACCTGCTAGGGAACTAGCTAAGGCCAAACATTGCACCAGGCCAGCAGGCCTCCTCACACTGCAGCCTCCGGGACTGACCTGGAGGCGATTCCCCATGGCCTACCTGGTATACTCTAAATTACCGTGGCACTGTTACTCATTGCCTGTTCCCATCCAAGGCCTTGGCTACCGTCTCTCTGATGCCAGTCTCACTACCTCGGCTGTAGGCACAATCACTTTTCCTCTCTGGGAACTTATTGGCTAAGGCAGAATCAGCTGGGTAGATTCTCCTTGAATCTGTCTGACAACTTACGCACTGGGACAGGACATGATTCCACACCCCTCCCCATGTATTCTTTCAGCTGCCTTGACACACGTGGCCCAGAACAGGCTATCCTCTGGACTCTAAGGTACACACAGCTACTCCAGCACCCCTAGTGATCTAATGGTGTCCATCCTGAGAGTGCCTCCCCTTTTCCCTTCTAGGCTCTGTGGGTATACCTGGCACTGGCAAGGCACCAGGGTCATTCCTTGCCTTCCATCTGTCTTTGTTTATGCCTGCCCCTCTGCCACCACCATGGGGCCTATGGAGCTTATCTCCATTATCCCCAGGATGAAGTTTCAGCTTCTGACTGTAGTCTTCAAGCTCTAGCTTCTTGGCATCACCGCACTCCTCCCCTACATATCCCGATGACTCTGTGCTGCTTTTCCAGATGTGCACCCTGCCCACCCACACTGCTGTGCCTCCCTGCTTGCTGCCGTGTACCCTTAGGGCTCTTTTTCCATGCTATAAAAGCCTACTTAAAGGTTGCCAAGTCTATGCTTTCTTCTCCCATACTACCCCCCTACCTCTATGGGCCATCTGTGTGACTGAGGCCAGCACACTGAATCTGAGAATACCAGAATTCTGTGGGGGAACTACTTAGAGAACAGGATCCTTTAAGACTGGGCGAAGTGGTACCAAAGAAGTCCAAGTTGAAGGCATTCCTCAAGGACCAAGCATCCCAAGAACCTACTCCAGTGTGTCCAGGTTCATATCTGAGCCATGTTATCCTAGCTATGATTCAGATGGATCCTGGTAAAATGGGAACCACCATTAGATCCCTAGCCCAAGCCTCCTCTCCCCACGGGGTGAGACAGTGCTTTCAATACAGTGCCCAGGACAAGCATGGCTGCAACCTAAGTAGCTTTGACTTGTTTCCTGTAATAAATGTTTACTCACTAGCATGAATGTATAGCAAATGTCAGAAAACAGCCCTCATATCTTCCCAATGTGCATGTGGCCACCTAACTGTGCCTTCCAGGAGACTGTGACTGTGACCACCCCCAGTAACCCATCCTTTTCTGATTCAGGGCAGATCTTATCTGCCATGCTCCAGTTCTGATGCAAAGCACAGAAATAGAGTACAGCAGTGACCCAACTCCACATCAGCCTCTTTTATTTCTGTTATGTAATTCCAGATAGAGTTAGCATCTCTATCTGCTTAAGCAGCCCTACCCCAACCTAGAGTGTCAATGGTAGCCTGGCCACCAATCTATGTAGTATCTTTGTGTGTCTGTAAACTTCTGGGCCTGCCACTGCTGCCCATCCACTTGGAGTCTTGGTGTTCCATGTCATTCTAACTGTTCCATGCCCATGTAGATGCAAGCAAGCAAGGAGATGGGACCCCAGGGAAAGAGAGAGTGGTACAAAATCAGCCAATGAGCGCCAAGGCTGGTACCAGTTCCTCAAGCACACTTCTTGGCCCTCAGTAAAGCCACACTGATTCCCCCATGGGATCTCAACTTCCATGGCTTTTCCAAGTGGGGCTTTATCATTTCAGATTCGTCATGACTCTCAAGAATACTGAACCGGTCACTTTAGCTCAACTTGTTCTATTTGATTCGGAAAACCCGCTTTAAAAAAAAATTAACTAAAGCCTCTGGAAGGCTTTTCAGGTTGTATGTGTTTCCTAGGCAACTGGCCCCAGATTTCTGGATCTTGTGAACCACAAAATTGCTCCCCGGATTTCGGAGGCCTGCACACCATTTTCTGTTGCAAAGTAACTTGATGCCCGCTCTCATGCGTGTTCTATACTAATGTATCCATGCACCAGATGCTAGGGTGCTGCTCCACAATAAAAGAGAGTGCCTCAAACCTGGATCATGTAGCTTTTTGGATGTTCATGACGTGGTCTGTCTTTTTTTGCATTCCATTACAAATTGATGAGATTCTTTACCAATGGCTGAGCCCTTGTTCCTGGCCAGCTCTGGGGCCTCTGGTAGGGGGAGGGTGGTGACGGTGATGCTTTCATAGATATGGTTATCCTGCGGGGACATCACAGAAGATATCATGGAGACTGATGCCAAACTGAGGCAGCAAAGGCAGCTTTCCCATCCCTTGTCTTTTCCATCGCCTAGAAACCATGCAGTCCAAAGAAGCAACGCCACAGCCCAGAGTCTGCAACACCACCACATCCACACATCTTCCTTACATGAAATACCCAACCACGTGTACAACATATTCCTCACAGATGCACTCACGGCCTCAAAGCCTGCCTTCTCTCGAGGAAAGGAGTGAGGAAGTGGGTCATACTGGGTGAAAAGCAGCCCTGGGCAGGTTAAATGGAAGGATGGCAAGTCTTTCCTCAGGGGGGCTGAGGTTGAAAGACATTTTGTTTGGAGGAAGGAGTCAACAGTGAAACTGCTTCTTTTGGAGAAGCCCTGTCAGAAAGTCAGAGGAGACTGGAGGCCAGGGAGTTCCCACTGCAGGGCTTGGGATGCCAGACCGTAACAGGTCTTTGGAGTCCAGAAATGCATGTTGGCTTGTCTGCTCGTTTTATTCAATGAACTGCATGATACTTTCCAGAAGTTAGATCCACCATCAAAGCTTCTCTCCACACTGAGGCCGTTCTCCAGGAGAAGGCTGCCAGTGTGCCTTGCCTCTGGCCTCCCTGAGTCTAGGCATGTGGTCTCCCAGTGTCACAACTGGATATGGTGGCTCAGCTACAGTTCCTTCAGACCCTACTTCCTATATTTGTCACAGCGTCGTAGTCAAAGACAGAGTCAGAAAATCCAAAGACAATGAGTCAGGAGGCTTCTAGCAGGATTTATTTACAGCGCTCTCCTATGGGTCTCATCTTCCCCTTCGTCTTCTAGAAAGCGCAAAGGGTTGTCCCCCAGTCCTCCAAGCCTCCATGCATGGGGGCTGTAGGAAAATTTCTGACAAAACAAAGCCTCTGATCTTGGAAGCCCCTCTTCTACCTAAGTCTATATTCTGCTGAAATCCGAGTGATTATCAACTCCCCGCCACAGTGGAGCAGGACAGAACAAGAGACCCTCTGCTAAGAGGACCATGAACAAGGGCAGTGATTTCCCAGGGATCCAGGCAAGAGCCTCCAGCCCACAAACTGCTGGAGAATGCTTCCACCTTCTAATAAGAGCATGTCATATCCCTCAGGTGTGTTGGGGCGGAAAAAAGTGTTGAGAACTACCGAAGTAGGATAAGGAAGTGTTGCCAGACACAGGTACTTATTGACGAGTGGCTCTCGATGAGCGAGCGTATCGTGAACGCAAGTGACTACCTACAAAATGTTTGCAGTGTGCTTCCACCGGTGACCTTTCCTTCCCACACTCCTGACCACTAACCATTTGCCCAGCAAAACCCTCTCTCAGTCATGGCTTTGTCAAAAGCATTGGCAGCTTCCAGGAATGGGGCTGACCTAGCTGAGGCTTTGCTGGCCCCATATGTCCCCCATGTGGCCCCTGCCCTCACCCAGCCCCACCCTGTGTGGTAGCCTGGACCTCCATGCAAGCCAACTTTTATCTCATTTTCTCTCCCACAGATGGAGGTAGTGAGTACCTTCAAGAGAAGCGGGTCATTTCAGGGTGCTGTGCGCCGGCGGTCTTCAGTCCTCAGCCAGCTCCATGACGTAACCAATCTTTCTACCCCTACTCACGTAACTCTCTCTGCCGCCAAGCCCACCAGCGCTGCTGGCAGTGAGTCTTGACTTCCCTTTTCTCTCATAAATGGCACCTGGGGGAAGATAAAGCATCCCTGACTCTTCCTTCTCTTTTCCAGTCTTGCATTTCTGCTCACCGTGGCTTTTCTGTTCCTTCTTTACTGCCCTGTCCAGTCCTTCCCGCCAGACGGTATCTCTCCAAAGCCATATTCTCTTTATGAAATGACCCCACAGCACTGCCGGGCCTTTCGTCCTTTGCTTTGTTTGGGTTTTGGTTTGCATTTAGTACCCCTGCTACCATTGGTTTTCTTTTCTTGGATTTGTCTGCATGTACCCATGGTTCTTCATGAACTCGGGCTTCTTCCAGTGGTTTCTGGTGTCAGGCTGGGGACTTGCTCCATGTTCTGGGGTGAGTGTCAGGAAAGCATGTGACCCATGGCTACCCTTCTGGGGTAGGTAAAAGCCCACAGTGTGGTATCATTTGCAGCAGAAGAATCCAGCCTATCTCCCTGGAGAAGAAAGTAACAATTTTCAGCATTCTCCTTGAGGTGGCTTCCAAAGGATGCCCCTGTCTCCAGTCCCCAGGTAGCTTAGTGGTGACTGAGAGTGCCTCTGTTGAGCAATTCGTGCCTGCCCTGAAGGCCCTGCCCTGAGTCAGGATCTGCTAGAGGAGCCCTGATAACAGGAGCTCAGAGGCCAGACAGGTGCTGTTTTGTATGTTCCCAGGCATCTTGCTCTTTCCAAACAGGCCTCAGTACTGGAGGATCTGAATCCAATCTTGTGCAATCCTCTCTACTCCTTCCTCAGAGAAGCCAGGGCATTTCAATGACAAGTTCCCACCTTGCAATTCACATTTTGAAGAGAACCCTGGGTTGACCTGACTAGATAGAAGCTTCCATAATTGCTCACATCTTTTTATAAAGACAAGGAAGAGGCCACTAAACTGCTGAACCTGTCACCCTACAGTGCCCCAGCAGGAGAGAATGCAGGCAACTACATGGAGGCGGGGTCACTCCTCGGAGGTTGTCTACTTTTGGTAACAAAGTCGGGAGGTTCCAAAAAGTGAACAGTAAACCTTCGAGTATGAGTCCAGGGCCCCTGCTGGGACGGTTTGATGCTAAGTCTTTCCTTTCCTTCCAGTGAGCCCCCTGCAGCTCCCACCAGACGGAAAGCCTTAACTACCTCACCTTTTTCCCATCACAGACTGTTCGGGTTCCTTTCTGCTTGGTTTCTTTCTGTTCTTTTCTTTTATTTATTTATTTATTTATTTATTTATTTTAGGAACTGGTGAGAGGTCCCCAGTGGGAGGTATCCCTCCTCTTCCTTAAGCTCTTCTTTTGGGCTGCTCTGTCTTTTATAGAAAGGATAAGTGTCCCCCAGGAACAACACAGATGTATGTGCTCCACAACCACAGGCCACATGCACCTCCAGCTTGTACACCCCCTGGACTAGCCACCGCGGCCCCAGATATGGCCTGACACATGTCACTGTTGGTCTGGAAAGCAGCCAGTGCTCCTGGCATACCTCGATGGGACCAAGAAATATCTCAGGGCTACTTTAGATGCCAACAGGAGGCTCTCTACTAAATCAGTTAAGGACAGACTGGCCCATGGCCTTCCAGCACATGTTGGCCATGCCCACAAGAACCTCCTACACCAATGCCCAGGTGGGCAGCACTAGCTTTCTTCCTCTACACAATATGAAGAGTGGATGTAGGACACACATAGATCTGCTCAGCCCTTCTCTTCCTGCTGACTTCTTTCTTCACTTTCCACCTGTCTGCCTACCCACCTGTCTGTCTGTCTGTGCATCCATCTACCTGTCCACCTATTGCCTCAGGGGAAGAGCAGTTGGCAAGATTCTTCTATGTATGACACTCCAAGCCTCTTCCACAACTCTGGTCTTAGCCCTCACTGGAGCCAGTCAGCCTCGGAGGCCCTGCCTCACCTGTCTCTACTACCTAGGGTGAGGCCTACTGCCTCTTCAGCCCCCATTTCTCCTATTTCCTCCTTAAATGTGGTCTTTATTTTCTTCCTTGGCCCATAGTACCTTGCTTCTTTCCCTCCTTCCTTCCATGGTCATCTGTTACCCCCTTCCAGCCTTCTGATTCCACCAGTGCCTGGTAAGCACAGCGGGAGAGACACTCCCCTCCTGCTGATCATGAGCCATTCCAGGGAAACCTAAGCAGAGGTGAGAGCTCAGTGGCAGGGTCTTCTAAGGAGGGAGCTGGCAACTCCAAACAGGACATGGTTTGCTTCTGGAAGCCACTGGTTCAAATTTATAGTTGCCCCACATCAGTTCCAGCTAGAGCTCAGAGCCTCACTTCTGAATTCTGAGGGCTTTCACAAATCCCGCACCCAACACCCTCACAAACTAGGAGAGGACCTCACAAACTAGGAGAGGACCCTACTCAGGACCCCAGAGGCAGGCAGGCCTGGCAGAGTGGCCACTAGCTCACCTTCCCCCTTTCCTTGGAACTCTTCAGAGGACCAAATCTGCTTGAAAGTAAAGCAGGGTAAAGGTCATGATGGAGCTCCCCTGAACAACGTGCAACATTGGGCAAGGTGTTTTGACCACAGCTGCCCCAGCTGTCCTGACTAGCCCTAGAATTTCCCCATATATGAGGAATTTTCTATCCTCTTTACTTGCTCTAGGCTGTATTGCCTTTCACCCCTCAGAGTCCAGAGGCCTGTGACTCTTGGGTACTGGATAAGCTTCCTGTTGAAAGGTATTCCCACTAAGAGCCTCGGGCTTTCTAGGGATAAAGCCACTCATCGTGTGCGCTGGGGCCAATTCAAGAGTGGCCAGATGGAGAAGTGACCAGAATCCTTTGGACTCAATATGCTCTTCTCATCTTTTCTAATGCCTCACTCTGTGTGTGTTCTCTCTCTCTCTGTCTCTGTCTGTCTGTCTCTCTGTCTGTCTCTCTCTGTCTCTGTCTGTCTCTCTCTGTCTCCCTCTGTGTCTGTCTCTCTGTCTGTCTGTCTGTCTGTCTGTCTTTCCCGCTGCTGCTTCTGGCCACAAGAGTCTCTCCACATTCCCACATTCCCCTTGTACAGTCTGAACTGGCCATGACCTCCTCACTCCTAACTCCAGAATGGCCTGTGCAACTTCTACCCTACTCAGCTATTTTTCCTCCCTTGCCTGGCCTCAAGGCCGTCCCTATCACAGCCATTTCATTCATAACCCTCTGGGTCCAGGGCGTATTGTCTTCCCCCTCATGGCTGCTACCTCATTTCTTGTGACCTGGGCCATTATCTGGTCAGCCTGTCTGGGATGGTTCAGGAAACGATGAGGCTGTGAAATCCTGTTTGCTGTGGGTTTCCATCATGCCCCTTCTCACACCAGCCACACACTCACACACTAAGGCTGCAGAACTTCATTCTCCTAATGAATGTCAAGAACCTCAAAAGGGAAGTCAGAGAGGGGTTTATGCAGTCATCCAGCTTTGCTAGCAAGCAACAAAAACAAGGCGCTAAGTATCTCCCTTCTAATGGGAACAGAAGGAGCATGATCTTTGGAAATGCAAGCCTGGATCCTGGCATCACTGAAGCCTCTCTGTGGGCTCCAATGCCCAAGAGTTCTTTTGTGTCTCTTTCCCATGGGAACACAGAGACATACCTTTGACCCTCTTCTGCCAAATACCAAACTCTTTTCCCCATCAGCTCACCCTGGGGACCCTCTCATTCCAACCAGCAGCCAATTCCAGCCCATCCTTCGGGTAGCAGCACTGGGCCTCTATACTCGAATGTTTACTGTCTCAGTAGTTTGAGATAAGATACCTTCTGACGCAGGACAGCAAAGATTTGAGCACCATATCGCCAGAGGGGCTTCTTCCAGGTTCTGATGAAGAATTTGGAAACCGATAACAGCAGTTGCTTCATTTTAAATGGTTTTCGCAACATGGAAACCTTTCACCCATTGGGGGAAGGGAACTAAAACCAGCCAGGTAAGCCCCTGCAGCTTTGCTTTGACATAAACTTCCAGAGCCCAGGAAGGCATGCTTTTCACTCTCACACACCCAACAAGGAAGGAGCTGGCAAATCGTTTTAAGTTTGCATCATTTTCAAGAAATGAGTTAATGCTGAGCCAAATCACCCCACTTACGTTTTCTGGGAGAGTTTATTGGCACTTTTTGTAGCTATTTGAAAGTGTGCACACTGGATCCACACTAGGAAAGTTATCAATTAGTTCTCTAGTTGGGGTCCTGTCCTACTCTTTCTGGAAATAGAGGCTAAACCCCATGGAGAACAAGCTTCCAGGAAATTACTAAAGCACACGACAAAATGTAGCATGGACATAGGCCTGGCCCAGGAAATCGGGCTTCTGAGGCCCTGTAGGTAGGTGCTGTGAGGACTGCCGCATGGCCAGCAGCTGGGAGCTTGTGGAATTTCTTCTAGCCCCACCTTCTCTGTCCACCCATACTCCACTCTGCCACCATAGCTGCCCTTGGCTACTGAAAGGGCAAGGCAATAGGTAGGGCTTTCTCCTGTGTTTTCTGTGGCCTGACTATGTGTTTGGGCCAGGCTGCTGCTGTCAGGAGCCAGGCTAGTTCTCATGTCCTGGGCAGTTAGTGCAGAACAGTTAAAGGGACTTAAAAAACTAGCCAGTTTCTCCTCAGTTTCCACCCTTACTGGGCCAGAATGTCAGGGCACCTGACAGGTCCCTTTTCTCAAGGAGGTGTTGGACCAGTGGTTGTAAAGAGCAATGAAAGGTGAGGAATGAGCCAGACAGAAGAGTGTGGACCCCATGAGCCTTAGCAGCTGAGACCAAGCAGAAAACATGGGCAAGCCTCCTGGGGACCCTACAGCCTCTGGCAACAGTGGCCAGGTTGAAATTCTCTCTGGCCAAAAAATTGGAAAGAAGGGGGGGAAAGGTGTGCCAGGCATTTTCTACTGTTGCTTTTGCCATTAGGATTCAGGAGCCTTTGCTTTTTTTTTCCTCTCCGTTTTTTTTTTTCATTCTTTTTACTGGGATGAGCCTTCCCTCAAGTCCCTCACTCTTGCTCCATCCTACACCCACAGCCTACCCTCCACATGGAAACCCCAACACAGACACACATACACACAGAGA